GGCAGTGGGAAAGGCTTCAGCACTTTATTGAAAGAAAGCAATAAATAACACTGTGATAAAAAGAGCTCAGAAGTGGGCTGTACACACTTTGTTACATAATCAGAGTTCACAAAGGGTTAGTACAAAAACATGGGCGACAGTGGCTGTACAGGTCGCTTGGGAGCAGAGCGAATGTGAAGACACCGTCGCCGTCCACAGCGGCTGCACAATAAATACCACGCGATCGGCACGCAGCCCCTGCGGCTGTGCAATGGCCATTTAAACAGTGAAAGTGCCCTGGCCACGCAGACCGTCCAAATGGCTGCATGATAAACCCTAAAAACAACATGTTTACAAACAAATGTAAAACGATGATCTGAGTAAGAAAAATAAGGCNTGATAAACCCTAAAAACAACATGTTTACAAACAAATGTAAAACGATGATCTGAGTAAGAAAAATAAGGCCTTTATTAGTTGCTCGGCATTATTCTCAGGAGCCCGAGCGTCACCTCTGCACCAAGGTCTCTGCGATGACCTGCGGCCTCCGGGATTGGTCCTCGTGTGGGGGGGTGCCAGCGCCTTCCCACCCTCCGGGGCAGAGCTGGAGGCCGAGAGCTCCCGCCCGCTTTCTCTTGTCCAGCTATGAACTGCCCCAGCTGGGGGCTCCGCGCGGCTCTGAAGACAAGGTCTCCGAGTCCGCAGAGACGAGGCCCCGGGCCCGAGCTGGCGAAGATTCTCATAGTGTTCTGATCGTCCTCTCACAGCCCAAGTGTCAGGAACGCTGACATCTGACCCAGAGACATTCGTGGGGCAGGAGGAGGCATTTCTTGCTAGAAAAGGGCAGCAAGGTCAGTCGATACCACGCAGCAGCTGCTGGAGAAGGGTCTGCCCATTTCACAATGATTGTTGTGCAGCCGGGCGTTCCGAATGGCCAACGCCCGGTGTCAGGACCACGTCACAGACGCAGGGAAAGCCTCTTCTCTGCCGTGGTTTATTATTAAAAAATTAAACAGTGATAATTACAGTAAATGCATAATTTACAAAAGCCCTACATCGTTCATAGGATTTATACACATGAGCATTACAGTACATTCATCTGAGACTAAGACCAGACACAAGAACAGACTTGACTGGCCTGGACACACACGGAAAGGTAAGTAACTGTATAAATGGAGGCAGAAGTTTACATAAATATAAGAAACATTAAATTCTAAAATATTCTCTTCATGGTATCCATGAATTTCTCACTGATTAAAAACTCTGTAATAAAATATCTCGGTCCGTGTCACAGGTCCCGACAGTGGGGATTCCCCTGGGCTCTGGAACTCCGCCTCTGCAGGACTCGGGCGCTGCAGCATCACCTGTAGAAGTAGTGTGGGTACACTGCAACGACACAGAGGAGAGCGCCTGAGACCAGCCGCAGCCACAGGCAAAGGAGCGCTGCCCTCCGCGCCCTCCCCCGGGTCCCCCCTCCCCTGCTCCTGCGCTGGAGCTGCTCCGAGAATTTGGATAGAACACCAAGGACTGCACGTATCCGTGAGAGAATTCCTTAACTGGCTTCATTTTGGTAAATGTCTAAAAGTTACCAATTTTAAAAAAAGATGACGAGCCCTGGCCTGTGGCTCAGCTGGTTGAGTGTCCTCCCGGGCACCAAAAGGTCACCAGTTTCGTTCCAGACAGGATTGCGGGCTCAATTCCCAGTAGGAGGCGTGCAGGAGGCAGCTGATGGATGTTTCTCTCTCTCTCTCTGTCTCCCTTCCTCTCTAAAAGCAAAACATTTTTAAAGAAAATAAAAAGATGACGAAACCAATCAGATGTTCCAGCTGAGATGTGACAGCAGAACAGTGCAGAGCAGCACCGTCCATCCAGCCCTCAGAGTGGCGACAAGGGCTGACTCTGGGCCTGTGCCCACCTACCACCCACAAGGCAAGGCTGGGTCCCTCAGGAACTAATCTTGGTGATGGCCATGCAGTTTTGTTTTTAGAACCAGTCTCTGAATTGAAAGGCTATCAGCCCGACCTGGTTTGGCTTAGTGGTTAGAGCACCAGCCCATGGACTGAGAGGTCCTGGGTTCGATTTCAGCCAAGGGTACATACCTCAGTTGCAGGCTCCATCCCCATCCCTGGTTGGGGCACATGCGGGAGGCAACCAGTTGATGTGCCTCTCTCACATTGGTGTTTCTCTCTCTCTCTCTTCCCCTCTCTGAAAAGCAATGGGAAAAAATATCCTCAGATGAGGATTGAAAAAAATAAATAGAAAGGCAATCAGCGAGATCACCATGGCACAGCCTCCTGAAACACTGCTTCAGGGCTTGTCTCACTCAGGAATGTGCATTTATAACCACCAGATGGCACCAAGACTTGGGGACTACACTGGCACCCACACAGGTCAAACTGCAAAGGGACCAGCACCTGGTGCTCCACACGACGGGCAGCAGCCAGCGAAGACCCGAGTTCATGTTCCTACTGTGTCTGCCTCCTGCCTTCCCACCCCAACAAGGACATTAGCAGACACATAACATAAGCCAACGGTCCCAGGTGTAGACAGAGTGGGAGTACACACTGCCCTTAAAGACCGGGATACCCCACCTCCGTGGCCAACTGCAAACACAGCCCCAAAACCACCCCTGTGAGCCGAGGCTCCTGCATCTCCAGGTGTAGGTTCCTCAGTTAACTGAAACGGCTCTCCCGGCCCACAGCCGGGGCACAAGCTGCAGACGACGCTCCTCTCTACTCACCACGGAGGCTTCAGCAGGAGTAAGTCCTGACTGTGGCGGAGTCCAGCCTCTGTGCTCCTGACACGCTGCCTGCTCGCCCGAGGAAGCATGCAAACACAGCGTGCGGTTATGGTTAGTGTGGTCACACGAGGCACAGGCTCACACCTCACACCTGCCACAGCACCCACTCAGTCCAAGGGAGCCTTCCAGAGTGGGGCTCCATGAGCAGGAGAAAGAGAACCTGAGTGTCACTAAGTGCAGTGGCCCTAAGTGTGTCTTTGTCTCCCAAGCAGCCCTGGAGTCTCTGCAAGTTAATTCCTAAACAGAAACAATGCACCTAATACTATAAACCCAATCTCACCACGTACATCCTGCGTATACACAAGTACTTAACATAGGACCACTACTTAACATGGTAACTTTGTTTCTTCTTAAACAGTCTAGATGAACAGAACAACTGGACTTTCCTTTCAGCCCTAAACACTGTACCTATAAGAATGAAGGAGGTGAAACCCCAGCAGTGATTAGCTGCTACCAGCCCACTGAAGGGCAAGGCCAAGTCAAATGCACGCCTGGCCTAACGGGAGGAGGGACACTTCCCAGCACGCGCTCATACCTGCCTGCGATGGACAGTGGGGGGCCTCACAGGCAGTATAAGGGGCCCCAGGGATGTGGCTTCAGGGGGTGGCTAGAGGAAAATGACTTGTCTAAGAACCTGAACCCCAGCCTGTTTCTATGGGAAACATTGCACACCACGGACTATTTTGGCTAAGAAACACACTGCATGGCCCAGCAGATAAGCCCCAGTTCCTCCTTGCAAATCTGATTAAGAACTTTTCAAAATGTGTATCAGATACGTGCGGTTCCCAACTGCGTATTTTTTGTTTTACACCAGGAATGTACGTTACCAATATCCCGCCATGGTTCTGGGAAGGATGCTAGGACCGCTGGTACTACTGACAAGTTCTAAGAGCCCAGAGACGGCTGCACTTTACCTTACACTCCCTTATATAAAGAGTGATTATATACAATGATTAAAGCAGTCCATTTTACCAGACTTAAGTCTGTTATCATACAGGGTAGAAAGTTACCTTCCACATAAGACACTCCCTATACCTCTTCCTAGAAATAGTTTTAATTCATCTAAACTCTAACCTCAATACTGCTGCCAACCTTTAACAGGGACATGGGAGCTGTGATGAGGGAAATGGAGACAAAGTTGTGAGGAAATAAGACAGCACTCAGACTTTTAATAAGACGGAGGCAATAACGGAAATTATCTGCGCGCTCATTAAAAAAAAAATTCGACGTCTGAAAAAAGTTACCGGCTTTACCCTGATGAGCATGAGCTCTGCCAGAGATGCAGTTTCTGATAAAAATGTTGCCCTATAGCCCTGGCCGGGCAGCTCATTTGGTTGGAGTGTCGTCCAGCACATGGAAAGGTGGCAGTTTCGATCCCTGGTCGGGCACTTATGGGAGGCAACCGATGGCTGTTTCTAACCATCAATGTTTCTCTCTCTCCCCTGCTTTCCTCTCGCTACTACCCTGCAAGTCATCCTCACTAAAAGTGTCCGGTTTAGCAAAGGCTTTATTTACTAATTAATTTATTTTTTCCCACAATCCTTTTATTAAGTTGTAAAAAAGCTGACCTGACTCAGATGTCATGAAAATTATCTCTTGACCAAATCACATGTAAATTTTTTTTAAGATCTAAATGAACTTTTTTGCCTTTTTATTTTTTAAATTTTATTATTGTTTAAAATATTACAGATGTCCCTTTTTCTCCCCAATGACCCGTTCCACCCCGTTCCTTCCCCCTCCCAAGTCCCTCTCCCCACCACTGTCCATGTCCTTGGGTTGTGCATATATGCACATAAATTCTTTGGTTACTCTCTACCCCTCCACCCACCCACCCTCTTCCGTCCCTCTGACATTCATCAGTCTCATCTATGCTTCCATGTCATTGAATCTATTCTGTTCATCAGTTTATTAAGTTCCTTAGACTCCACGTATAAGCGAGATCATGTGATATTTGCCTTTAGCTGCCTGGCTTATTTCACTCAGCATAATATTCTCCAGGTCCCTCCATGCTGTCCCAAAGGGTACAAGATTCTTCTTCTTTACAGCTGCGTAGTATCCACGGTGTGAATGTCCCACAGCTTTTTATCCACTCATCTACTGATGGGCACTGGGGCTATTTCCAGCAAAGGCTTTATTTATATAAATGTTATTTTCTCTGACTTTTACATAAGCAAGTGCAACAAAACTTCTAAGCCTACTTACGGGGAGGGCTAATAACATGAAAAATAGCAAAACCTACATTGGTGCTTTTTTAAGTCTACTAGGGCCTCCCTAACAGAAATAAAATGGAGTCGTTTGTACAGGACGTGACTGCAATGACTGTGACACGAAGCCACCTTGTAAGAGCTTTGTGGAAAGTACTTGTCCAGCCCTTACAACAGGCTGATGAGGAAGACCCTGTCACCACGACCACATCACAGATGGGGACACTGAGGTGGAGTCACAGGCCCGATTTAAAACCACAGCAGCGGGGTCAGCTGCCATCCAGGGACAACTGCCCAGGCTCGAGTTCAGCCCCATCCTGTGACATGTAGTGACACGATGGACCCCAGTGGGGACAGAGGAAGAAAGAAAAGGCAGCACCCCAGAGGTGCAAACTGCTGTTTAAATGGACTCAGCCACTTTCCCAGAGTGGGGAGAGGTCCCAGGAGTGAGTGCTGTGGGCTGAGAGCCACTACCTGCCATTACCGATGGCATTTGGCACTACCTGTTGCACCACATCTTCACGAGCGTGGATGTCCACCTAACGCGCTGAACACGCTCTGAGGACACGGTGCTCAGCTTCACTAGCTGGAAGAATATGCATATTCAACCAGACAAGAACGTAAATTTAAAAATCTCTACTATTATTAAACTTTTATAAACAGGTGTTAGGATTAATTTTAAAACACTTGAGCCAGGGCATGCACAGTACGGAAGTGCCTCCTAACCTACTGCACAGGCCACTCTCCCCCACGCCCCACGCCCCAGCCAACAGGCGGCCATGCTGCCTGCGAGGGCGGGGCGCCGGGGGCCTCACGTACCATCCAGCTGCATCTTCTTGGGCGGCACAGAGGGCGAGGACAGGGAGGAGGTGACCCGGAAATTTGCGGGGAGAGTCTCTGCTGACCCGGCAGCTAAGCCACGAACGTCCTTGGGTCTGAACTTTTTCCTCCACGAGGGTGCTCGCCTAAAGGTCTTATCATCCTGGTAGGTCAAAGGACAGAAACAGAATGACTGCAAAACAGAGGACAGAAAAATACAGCAGTTACCAGCCCTTTAAAATGACGGCTGGACTCGCTGCTGCACTTTCGCTCACGTGTCTAAACCCATTCTCGATGACTGTGATTCGTGGACCACGCTGGGGACCTCCGAGTGAGAGGAGGCATGGTGGCGCTCACACAAGGAACCCAACTGGGGAAACATTAGCAGGGTCCTGGCCACCTGGGTGATGTCCTCCTCTCATCACCATGTGTCTTGCAGAAATCGCGTTCTCACTATATAAGAGAATAGGTTTTTATTTGTCTTAGAAACAGCTGTCAGGCTGTAATTCTGCCTTATGCTGTGATAGAGCCAGCAAGTGCTTCAAACTCAGGTTTCCTTAGGATCCAAAGGAGAGAATACATAACAGTGTGGAAATAAATGAGTCATGTTTTGTACAAGAAGATCTGAACATTTTGTGTTTTTCAAATGTACTTCTGAAGTAACCTCCTAATGCACAGGGCTCTGGGTTGTGGGTAGACAACCAGCCATCCCCAAAACACAACTTATAGACAGACTCCATTCCTAGGCCATAACCAATGTCTTACAAAAACCATTTTTGAGGGTTATCAAAGGTTGAATAACAACCTATTTTACTGAAAATATTAGTTTTTTAATAACTCATTTGTTCATAACGTTTTTTGTTTCTTTTAATCCTCTCTCAAGGGTATCTTTTCCATTGCTTCTCGGGGG